ATTGTGATCCCTTTCTGAGTTGTTGGTAGTAGTAGCCAGACACAGCCTCCTTCTTCTGGTCTCAGTGTCATGGAGACTGAGGTTGAACATGGTCCATTAGTTCATTGGATTAGTTGTTTCCAAGCAACTTAAATTTTTATCACTCTTATTTCCTCTGGAGAGGGAAAGATCAATAGTTAATCCTTAGATGGCCACTCATGTTGGCTCTTCTCTCTCTTTAAGTTTTTATTGTGAATTATGTGATAGTTTACATGGGAGAGCATTGTTGTTGCTGTTAGGTGCCATTGAGTCAGTACCGACTCATAGCGACCCTATGCTCAGCAGAACTAAACACTGCCTGATCCTGGGCCAACCTCAAAATTGTTGTCATGCTTGAGCCCATTGATGCTGCCACTTTGCCAATCCATCTCACTGGGGGTCTTCCTCTTTTTCTCTGACCCTCCACCCTACCAAACATGATATCCTTCTCCCGTGACTGATCCCTCCTGAAAATATGTCCAAAGTATGAGAGACAAAGTTTGGCCATTCTGGCCTCCAAGGAGCACTCTGGCTGCAGTTCTTCCAACACAGATCTGTTTGTTGTTTTGGCAACCCATGGCACTTTCAGTATTCTCCACCAACATCACAGGCATAACATTAGCTTTACATTTATCCTATCGTATTTCATTTCATTGCAATGATTACAGTTCCCTGCATGCATTATAAAACAGCCAAAGGGTCCACCCTGCAAGCCTGTCCCCCGGCGGCCAGCACACAGCTCCTCTCCCTCCCTGAGTCCAGAGTCCCCTGCCGCTCCATCTCTCCATTTCCTTGTCTCTGCCTCCATCTCTGGCATCGCGGCTTCTCTGGATAGCGTCTTGCACTCCTCTCTTCTCCCTTGATTGTCCCAGAGTCCTCCGCTCCTGGACTGCAAGATCAGCCAATTCCCTTCTTTTGTTACAATATATCCACCTTTACATTTGCAACACTCAAAATCAGTCCTGATAGCAATTATTCACTATTGAACCACAGAGTCTTATCCCCATCTCCTTTCACCAGCCCTATCCAGACAGGTTGGAAACCACTCAGTGAAGATTCTACCTTCCCCTGCACCCTCTGAAACTATTGGCTCTTCTCTCTTGATGGTAATAATAGCCCCCTTTCTGCTTCTGAGATAGTTCATTTAAAACCTAGTAAAAGGGCAAAACTAGCCAATCTTTGTGTTAGAGTTACACGTTTTTTACAGCCACAATGAACTCATTTACAGTCACTCACAATTGAGCCATGTAATCCTATCAGCATCTCCCATACCTTCTCTTATCCAGACACATCAAGAAAAAGGTCATTTGGTTTTAGTTACAAAGACTACGGCTAGAAGAGACAGACATATTATATGATTCACTGCGTGCACTGACTTACTCTTTTGTATTTCTTTTCTTACCAAAATGACTTTCTGGAAAGTGCACACTTTCAAAGGACAGGCAGGTTTGCTTTATGCCACAGTAAACTGGAGTAGGCCTTTGTGCCCTAGCTGGGGAAGACAATGCAGATGGAGGTTAGAGTCCACTGCAGCCAACTGAGCCTGGCTGCACATTGCATTATCTCTGTATAACTCCAGCTCCTCTTGCACTGCAGAGCTGTGGTTCTCCTTTAGGTGATTCGGGGAGCAGCAGCAGCATCAACAACAGAACTTGGGAGCTGATTAAATTGACAACAGTGGGGCTTCCACCTCAGACCTACAAGTACTAATGCCTCCTGTTATTGAGCCAACTCCGACTCTAGAGACCACATGTGTGTCAGAGTAAATTGTGTCCCACAGAGTTCTGAATAGTTGTTGGTCTTCTAAGTCATATTTTAGTAGTTTGCCAGGCCTTTCTTTCGAGGCACCTCTGGGTGAACTCAAACCACCAACCTTTTGGGTTTGCAACTGTACACATTAATCACCTGTTGCTGTTGTTGTTAAGTGCCTTCGAGTTGATTCCGACCCTCAATAGGGTTTCCAAGAAGCAGCTGGTGTGCTTGAATCACCAACCTTGCATTTCAAACGACTTTGCAGTCTGACGCATTAGCCCACAGTGCCACACCAGGACTCCTAGGGAACTAGAAACTCTCCGATGAGTTTCCTGTGCATGTAAAAAGTTGAGATTCACTTCTTTTTGGAGCATGTTCCCCTGAGTCCAACAGCACAGATTTCATCTCGACTCCATCACTGAGAAGCTATGTGACTTTGAGCAGGTTACCAAAGTTCTCTGTGTTTAGTTAGTTGTTTGCTTTGCAAAAGGAAGATTAAACTACCTGCATGATAAGATGATTGTGAAAATTAAATGAAATACTTCATGAAGGTATTTATTTTATTGTTATTATTTTTCCTTTATCATTTTTTACTGTACTTCATGAAGTTATTTAGAATAAGGCCTGGCTCATAAAGAAGTGCTTAGTAACCAGAAGCTGTTATTATGAGGATTAGTATCATGCTTTGGATTCTGCATGCCATCGGTTGCCACCCTGTTGAGGTTTCTGTGGCCGTAAATCTTTATGGAAGCAGAAAGCCCCATCTTCTTCCTTGAAGCACCTAATGGATTCAAACCGCTAACTTTTTGGTTAGCAGCCCAGCATGTAACCCACTATGCTTCCAGGGTTCCTTTAATGTCACTGTTGTTGTTGTTGTGTGCCGTGGAGTCCATTCGGACTCATACTGACCCTGTAACAGGTTTTCCGAGGCTGTAAATCTTTACGGGAGCAGAAAGCCTCATCTTTCTCCCGCAGAACAGCTGGTAGTTTCAAACCGCTGACCATGAGATTAGCAGCCCGATTCGTAACCACTAAACACTGTTAATTAGCATTCATAACAACAAACAATTTTTTAGTATTCTTTATTATAATGATCAAAATGCAGACTTTCTACTAAGAGAAAATGTATTTTTCAGAGAATTCAAAGTGATTGACTTGGGTTAAATCGTGTATGTTAATGTTGTATACATATGAAAAATTTGGAGCATAATATATCTTTGAGCAATTTTAAAAACTGATTTCTCACTCAGCCCTTTGTTCAATGGGCAAATTGGAGATCAGAGACGGATCAGATGGTCTTTCTGTTTTCTTTCCTTCCCTCTAGTTTCTGATATAAAGTGTCTCTTTTTGGTTGTATTTACCTGACAAGTTGCCTTCCTGTCTATTCTGGTTCATAGTGACTGCATGTGTGTTAGAGTATAACTGGATCTCACAGGGTTTTCAAAGGCTGATTTTTTGGAAGTAGATAGGCCTCTATCCCATGGTACCTCTGGATGGACTTGAACATTCAACCTTTCAGTTAGCAGTCAATCATGTTAAACACTTGCACTTCTCAGGGACACCTAGGGGATGAATTTGATCCTCTTCCTGGTCCCGGAAGGGCTGATCCGTTTTCCACTTAAGATACACTTTTCCTTCTTGGGGTTGCCTCCAGGCGACATTGAAGGGTGGAGAGGAGAAGAGAGGAAATGGACGAAGGGAGAACGGATAAGGAGCTGTGGCTTGGCCCTGGTGCCATTCAGAGGGAAGTTCTTTTGCTCTAAATACCTGGTGGGTTCACTGTTTCCATTTTGTAATGATAAGCCATTAAGTCTTACTAAAGCTATCTTAGATATTTTGAATCCCTTTGCAGTTCCCCCTTTTCTGTTCAGGAGTGATCCTTAAACTGCTGAGATCACAATGCCCTCTCTTCTTATTTGTCTAAAATGTCAGTTTCAGAGTTGAAAGCCAGTGCACAAGAAGGAAAATATGAGGGTGCAGAGTGCTCCTACCTTTGTGGCTTTGAGTTAAATAATGACTACAGCAGATGTGCCAGATAGCTGTTGCCATTAAGCAGAAGCAGAAAATACTAAGATTTTCCTCACTGCCTGCACCAACTGCAAAGTAGAGAAGTTCAGCTCCTTCAATACATTTTCATTCCTTTCTGTCCTGTGTGTTGATGCCAAGTCCTCATGCCTTAAAAACCCAAACCAAACACATTGCTGTCAAATCGAGTAGAACTGCTCTGCTCTCTAGGGCTTCTGAGTCAGTGACTCTTTATGGAAGCAGACAGCCACATCGTTCTGCTAGAGGCTGGTGGGTTAGAACCAATGACCTTGTGGTCAAATAGTCCACTCTTAACCTACTGGCTTGAAAAGGAGGAGTCTAATTCTAGGCCTTGTTGTTAATTAGGTGTCCTGAGCAGTTTGCTTTAAATTCTGGCAGTAATCAAAAGTACGTGAAAAGCATATTGTGGGAAATTGCCTTTTACAAGCATTATGAGGTAGTGCTGGAATGTTTTCAGTAACATGGAGAGACTATTTGGGCGTCTAATGAAGATTTTGAGGGCTGTGTGTAGGCAGTTATTACTCAGAGTATTGACTGAGCGGCTGAGCGTGTTGTATAAATGTGTGTCATTGCTTAATTAAGCAAATAGCTTTGTGTTGCTTTTAGACAGTAATTTTACTTAAATAGTAAACATCCTATTTCCCTCTCGTCTCTGCGACATCCAGAAACCCCTGTGTAGTACAAGTGGTTTGGCTTGCTTCCCTGTTAACCAAAAAGTTGACAGTTCGATCCTAGCCAGAGGCTCCCTGAGATAAAGTCTGACGATCAGTTTCTGCAGGGTCCCAGCCTTGAAAACCCTGTGCAGCACAGGTCGACTCTGTCATACATGGATGGAGTTACCGCGAGTCAGAGCTGAATTACTGACAACTGTGAATTTTTGTACTTTTACTTTTCTTTCTGCCACACCTTGTTCAGTTTGGGTGGGGGCCTGTTTATTTGCTCTTGCTTTTCCTTGAAACAATTCTATGAGCCATAGAATGCAACTAATTTTCATCCTGAAGTAGACCATGTGCCCAGGATGACGTGAGAGTGACTGGGAATCCCACCTTTGACTGGCGCCCCTGCAGTATTTCTATAATGTCTGCCCCTTTGGTCTTCATATCTTTGTTTCTCAATTTTTCATTTTGTTGTCTGTTGTGGTTTCGTCTGTGAACACTTCTCTCTTTGTCTTTGCCCCTGATGAGGCTCAAAATGCTCAGCAGCTCCATGAACGGATTCAGTCGTCAAGTATGGATGCCAAGCTAGAAGCCCTGAAAGACTTGGCCAGCCTCTCCCGGGATGTCACGTTTGCCCAGGAATTCATTAACCTAGACGGCATCTCTCTCCTCACCCAGATGGTTGAAAGTGGAACCGAGTAAGTAGCTTCTGTTCAGATTTCCTAATCTGTTCTAGTCTGTTGTTATGTGTTGTCATGTCTGTTCCGACTCAGATGGACCTGTAGCAGGTGTGGGGATGTCTGGCCCGTGGACCATAGAAGGCCATGAAATCATTTGGTTTGGCTCCACAAGGCAACTACAGGCAGGACTAGAAAGTTAATAAATCTAGGAGCTTTTTTCAGAGAAACATAAATTTATATGAAATGATGTTATAATATCCAAATGACCCTTGGCAGAAAAAACTTTCCCCATCCTTGCTTGGGTTTCTGAGGCTGTAAATCTTTGCAGGAGCAAAAAGCCTCATTTTTTTTCTCCCTCGGAGAGGCTGATGGACTTGAACCACCAATCTATGATTCGTAGTCCAGTGCTTACCCTAGCATTTTAGCTATTAGTCATTTCCTTATACTAAACAGTTTCTAGTTTGAAAGAAACCTGGTTAGCTCCATGAAAAACTGGCTTTTAAGATAATTCCTGACTAATTTAAGTAGCTTTATAGCCTCCACATGCCAGCCTAGAAACTCACAAAATACCTAAAATTTCAGATTTATGAGGTAAAAAATTAGGTCATTATCTGTAACGGCTTTTTCAACACTAAAAGTATAAATCTACAACATAAAAATCCCTTATTTCCTTTGCCTGTCCCCAAGAGAAATTTTTCTTCCCTGACATTATCAAAAGAAAATTGGAATACCTAACTTATGTCTTGAAGTACAAAATCAGGTTAAAATATCTTCCCTGAAGTAATTTAAAAATTAACATTTTAATGATTAAATACAGATCCTTAATTATTTTCAATTATAAGCAATAAATATTTAATGACTGTCTATTGTGTGCGAAAGTGTAGGAAGTGGGAAAATGAAAATGAAAATGATATGAGCTGTGCCTACCCCAGATTTCTAGACTGTTTTACAGTGTAATTATATTTTGTAGAAATGTTCTTAAAATTAGGTTTCTTAATGTGGATTATATCTCAATGTAAAGAAAACAAAAATCCTCACCACTGGACCAATAAACATTCTTATCAATGGAGAAAAGATTGAAGTTGTCAAGGACTTCATTCTTCTTGGATAAACCATCAACACTCATGGAAGCAGCAGTCAAGAAATCAAACAACGCGTTACTTTAGGCAAATCTGCTGCACAAGACCTT